ACCCCGGGGGCGGAGCAAAAGGCGAACCCCAGCTGAGGGCTTCCCCGGCGGAGACGGCGGCGACGCAGGCGACGCGGCGGCAAGGCAGGCCCTGAAGGGTTGGGTGGGGGCGGCGAGGGCGGCGGCGAGGGCGGCGGCTGCGAGGGCGGCGACGAGGTCGAGGGCGGAGGCGGCGGAGGAGGAGGCGGAGACGGCGGCGGTGGCCGCGGAGGCGGCCGTGGCGGCGAGGGAGGCGGCGGCGAGGGAGGCGGCGGCGGCTTTGGAGGCGGGGAGGGGGCAGGAGGCGACGGCGGGTACGGAGGCGGCGGTGACGGGGGAGGCGGCGGCGGTGGCGGCGGCGGAGGTGGGGGCGGCGGCGGCGGCGGAGAGGGCGGCGGCCGTGGCGGCGGCGGGGACGGAGGCGACGGCGGCGGCGGTGCCGGGGGCGGCGGCGGCGGCGGCGGTGGTGGCGGAGGTGGCGGCGGCGGTGGAAGAGGAGGCGGCGGCGGCGGAGGCAGCGGCGAGGGCGGCAGCGGCGAGGGCGGCGGCGGGCTGGGTGGCGGCGGCGGCGGCGGTGGCGACGGCGACGGCGGTGGCGGAGACGGCGGTGACGGCGGGACCGGCGGCGGCGATGGCGGGCGAGGAGGCGCGGCGGGCGACCGGTCGAAGAGGTTGTGGCCGACGAGGCGTCCCACCCATACCGCGGCGTGGAAGGCGTCGGGCGGCGGCGACGGCGGAGGCCGTGGCGGCGGAGCGGGCGGAGGCGGCGCAGCCGGCAACGGCGAAGGCACCGGAGAGGGAGGAGGCGGAGGCGGCGGCGACGGCGGCGAGAGAGGGGATGGGCTGTCGATGCCCCGGAACATCATCCACCATTCCGCGAGCCGGTGGCGCACAGGCGCAGGCGCGGCCGATCCTGCGGCGGCGGTGCGCCCGGCGACCGAGAGTGCGCCGGCGAGGATGCGTGGCGGTGGCGGTGGCGGTGGCGGCATTTGAGCGCTGCTGGAAGGGGTGGGGGAGCAGGCACGAAACCCGGATTGAAGGTCTTCGTGATTTTTTCTTTCGTCTTCGTTTGGCGTAAAGAAGGATGCTAATGTTTTTGCTCGCCTTCCCTGGGACCCCGTGTTGTGTGACTGTCTCTGTGCGATTTCGGGCCCGGCGTTGTGCAATTTATGTGTCGCGCTTTCCTACCCAGTAGGGTGGGTACCCAAACTCCGGGCCGGTGTGCGGGGAGCGAACCTTGACGACCGCCCAGAAGCTTTCTGAGCGAACCAATCGGGCCAGGATCATCAGCATATGTCCCCTCCACAACATCGTGGGCGTTTGAGCGGTATTTGAGGAGCACCGCCACTCTGAAGTTCGGCCGGGTGGTCTGCAGACCCCACCCCCCGGAGCAGCAGAGGCTCCGTGGGGTCGCAAAGTCGACGCTGGGAGTCGCACTCGTCAAACCATCGCAGCACCACGCGGTCCGCACGTACCGCCCACATCTCCTCCACCGCTGAGAAGGCGCAGATCGACCGCCGGGCCGCGTAGTCGTCGTTAAGGAGCGGTTTTCGCAGGGTTCGTGATTTCACATGGAAACAGCGAATCGGTTTCACTTTCACTTTCACTTCACATTTCATGTGAAACGAAATTTCACTTTTTCGAGCGAGTGTGAAGAGTCGTGTGAACGTGATGATGACGGATGCTCCCACCGAGTTCCGACACTCTGACACTCACTTGCACAGGTGTTGGCTCCCAAGCAGCAGCCAAGATGAAGGAGGCTGGAGATATTGGTCTCGCTGAGCTGATGTGTACACTAGACCTATATGAATCTCATGGCATGCTGTGGGCGAATACGGTGCTCTGATGGTGGGATGAACTCTCTCAGCAGTCGAAAGTCGACTCTCGACGCATCGGGAGGGCGGCCGCGGCGGTGTAGGGGCGGCGGCGAGCTCCCGGTTGCAAATACTCGCCTCACAGTCCAAGATGGCGGCTCGCGCCCCCATCCGTGCACCAGCGTGCCACTCTAGTCCCGCCTGCCGCCCAGATACCGAGGGCGGGGCGCACTCTTCGACTTGGGCTATTATTTGCCACCGGGAGGGCGGCCGCGGCGGTGTAGGGGCGGCGGCGAGCTCCAGGTTGCAAATACTCGCCTCACAGTCCAAGATGGCGGCTCGCGCCCCCATCCGTGCACCAGCGTGCCACTCTAGTCCCGCCTGCCGCCCAGATACCGAGGGCGGGGCGCACTCTTCGACTTGGGCTATTATTTGCCACCGGGAGGGCGGCGGCGGCGGTGTAGGGGCGGCGGCGAGCTCCCGGTTGCACAAATACTCGCCTCACAGTCCAAGATGGCGGCTCGCGCCCCCAAGCATCCATGCTCTGATGTGTCGCTTGGGTCGCCTCTGCTGCTGTGTCTCTGTCTTAGCCAGATATCGAGAGCGCGCGACGACAACCAACCCCTTACCCTAACCCTAACCCTAACCTAAACGATAGCGGTCACGCCGTAGCTCGCGCATAGGAGCAGGAAGCTAGGCAGAGGCCGCATCGCGTTCGCTGAGCTGTAACAAGTTTGATCCAAAACAAGAACACAAGTTTGGCTCTACTAATATAGCGCGCGGATAAATCAGCGCGCGCCGCGGTGGCGGCGAAATATAATATTATCTCAGAGGAATATAGTGTGAATGCCCGGGAACAGCCCCTCCTGGCCCGAGTGCGGGGCGCGAGGGACAAATAAATTCAAAGGGCATGAAAGTCGTCGAGCTGCTTGATCAGGCCAGTAAAGATGGCCCGCGAGGCAGCCTTCGTGAGCAGGTCGGCGAGCATCACGACGCCGGGGAGGTGTTCGACAGAGATAACGCCACGGCTGACGAGATCGCGAAGAAACTCGGCGGCGCGCAAGATGTGCTTGGTCTTCTTGAAGGCAACGGGATCGAAGGCCATGCCGACGGCGGACTTGCTGTCGCAGTTGATGACGCTGGCGCCGTCGATGAAGAATCCAAGGTCGATCAGTAGCTCACGGATGAAAATCACCTCCTTGGCGGCTAGCATGGCGCCGAAGAACTCTGCCTCGGCACTAGACAGCGTGACGGATCGCTGCATTTTGGAGAACCAGTGGAAGAGACATCCGTAGAAGAAGAACATGCCACCGGAGCAAGAGAACTTCGTTGCCCAGTTTGAATCGACGTAGCTCTCAAGATTGCGGTTGGGATTCGGCTGCATGACGAGGGCGCGGTCAGCTGTGTCGCGCACGTAGATCAGCACCCGGATGGCGGCTTTAAAATGCGACGGGCCAGGATTAGTCATGAAGCGAGCAAGCTGAGACGCTGAATAAGCAATGTCGACGCGCGTCATATTGGCATGGTCGCGGCCCTGGGGTCCATCAGCGATGGCATCGGCGGGGTCGGCGCGCACGGGAGGAGCAGTGGTAGACTCGGCAATTCCGCTGTCAGGCGGAAGTGATTCGTTGCTGGGGAACCAAGAGTACGCCGATGTCCCTTGAGCCTAACCCTAACCCTAACCCTAACCCTAACCCTAACCCTAACCCTAACCCGAAGAACCCAAAGCGTTCACCGAGAGCTCGTGTCGACGGACCGCTGATTCCGCCATTTGGTTTCGGCCCAAACCGGACCATTCTCTTAGGAGCTGCACAACGGCTTGAACGCTCTCTGACCCTAACCCTAACCCTAACCCTAACCCCAACCCTAACGACACGGTGCTTCTTAAGAGGTCGTGCGCGTCGCTGCCGACGCATCTCGCGTGTATGGTGTATTTGCAGTGTATTTCGGCGGGGGCGCGCATTAAAAGAACATTGAGGCAACACACACGTCCTCGAGCGCCCGAGGCGAGGACACGAACCAAGCTGCACCTCCTCTCACTAGTTATTGTGGGCTCTTTCCTTTCTACACTTCCTCGCTTTCAAACACCGCGTTTTGATGCAGTGAGGGCGGGCCCCTGTTCTTTGAGCCTTGGGGACGACCACGGCCTTGACCACGGCCTCGCTGCAGGGAAGCAGGAACGCGCGGCATTGGTGGCACAGAGATCCCTACCGGTGCCGGCAGTGGTAGGCGCACCGCCGCTCTCTCCGCTGCCGCCTCCGCCGCTGCCGCCTCGACTGCTGCCGCCTCGACTGCTGCCACCTCCGGCTCCGCCGCTGCCGCCTCGGACCGTCGCTCGGAGATGCCAGAGCCTTCGAAAGTAGTCGAACTTGTGAAATTTTCAGTGAAACGGGGGCGGCCGAAACGTTTCATGTGAAATTCACATGAATTCACATGTGAAAGTGAAAGTGTGAAAATTCACTCACGAACCCTGGGTTTTCGGAGCCGTACGAAGGGGTCCAAAATGGGCGAACATGCGGTTTTTCGATGACCACGCGCGATGTGGTATCTGCTTTTTGCTAAAAACGGGCCGCCTAGTGCAGCACCACTAGTAAAACACGCAGCCACTCTGAGAGCTCCACACTAGCCGGTATAGGCGAGCCCCGGCGGCCTCACCGTCACCGCTCGCGGCGGAGCCGACGGCGGAGCCACGGGCGGGTGCGACCTTTTGGGGGGACATGAGCTCGCCAGGACGTCACCGATGGCTCGGCGCGCCTCTTCCCGCCAGCATTAAACGGCCTACACACAGGAGGGAGGGGGGGGAGACGGAACTCAGCCCTAGGTACGTGCAAAAGCGCCGGCAACGGCTGGGAGAGGGGCGGCAAGCGACGGGCGGGTCCGCGACCTTTTGAGCGCCCATGAGCTCGCCGGGACGTCGCCGATGGCTCGGCGCGCCTCTTCCCGCCACAGCGCGGGACGGCCTACCTACAGGAGGGGGGGGGGAGACGGAACTGAGCACTAGGTTCGTGATCCCGTCGCCGGCAAGGGCTGGGACAGGGGCGGCAAGCGACGAGCGGGTGAGCGACCTTTTGAGCGGTCATGAGCCGGCAGGGAGGCCGGCGATGGCTCGGCCAGCTCCTTCCCGGCGGCTTCTCGTCGGGCCGTGCCTGGTCGGCGGGGCTCGGGTGAGGTGAGCGGGCCCGGGAGTCGCATCTGCGCGTCCCCGGCAGTGGCAGTGTGGGGGTAGATGGGAAGTGCGGAGATGGGAGGCAACGCGCCTGTTTGATGGCCGCACGAGGCAAAGTTGGGCGCTCCGAGCGTCTTCTCGGCGAGCACGAACGGGCTGTGCATCGTTGGGGGGGTGACTGAGAGGGAGGTGGTCGTGCGCTCACTTTGTCGGCCGCGCGCGAGGAGAACACTGTGTGTGAGGCGCGCAGGAGGCGAGGGTGGGCGCGCCGGCGGTCGAGCCACCGAACAATTCGACGTCGCGCAGCTCCGCGCTGGCGGGCACGACCGAGCAGATGCTGTCGGCGGCGGTCACGCGACGACAGAGAGCCGCAGGCGCCCTCTGACGACCAGGCGCCCAAAAGCGGCGATGAGCGGAGCCGCAAACAGCCACCTGTGGGCGGTCACCGGGGTGGCGGTCAAGCACGCGACGGGGTGGATCTGGTGCTTCTAGTATCACTGGTGGGCTGGGTGTGCAGCAGCAGCGCTCAAAAAGAGGCAAAAAACTCGGCAGCTGTTTTGAGTGTCTACTCTTTCGACGCACCGTGCTCGGGCCCGCCGAAAAGCTGGCTGGTGGTCGCGCGCGGCGCGTCGGCGCGGCTCCGACTGGTCGGGCACCTCGGCTGGGTCCATCAGCACGAGGCCCGCCCCGTCGGGCAGCCCCGCGAGCGCAAGGGCGGCCGGCGCGAGCGGAGAACGGCGGGCCGAGATCGGCTCGTTTGGGGGAGGGAAATCACAACGCGCCAACTAGTTTGGGTGCCCTAGATGGGTTGGTGCCGTGGCGCGCGGCTTACGGCCGGCGGCTTACGGGTTACGGCGGCGAGAGCTCAGGCCGCTCTCGACCGCCACAGTCGCCACCCTCCCCTCCCTACATGCATGCGTTGCTGGCGGCGGTTGCCGAGCCTGAGACCCCACTGTGTGCTCTATCCGGCGGTATATTTTTGGGCTATCTCTCCTCAAAACGATGTCAAGCGCCCGCTCGCAGCCAGCACGCGCCGCGCCCCTGGGCGCTCCCCGCTGCGGCGCGCCGCCCGCGCGCGGGTTGCCCGGGCGAGCGACCGCCACCGCTCGCCCCTCAGCACCCTCTGCCCGCGCACGGCCGACGCGCAAGCCCGCGGTCGCGCGCGAGCCGTCGCTTTGCGCACGCCGCCGTCTACCCGCGCTCGCTCGCGATCGAGTCAGACGACCCTATCTTCCGAGTAGCGGAGGTGTGCTTGCACCCCCTTCCCAAGGCACATGCACTTTGGAGGGAGAAAGTAATCGCGGCGGGGCCCGCAATCTCACATTTTGCGACTCACCCCCAGCAGGCGCGTTCTCGCGTGCTGCTGCTGCACAGGTTTTGCGGCCGCCCCGAGAGGGGGAGCGGCCGCTCCTCCGCACCATCGGCCCACGGCATCCTGGGCGGCGTCGGCGCCGCCCCAACGGCCGGCTCGGGCGCTTCCCGCCCCGCCTCGGCTACACTTTGTCGCGGCGATCCAGCGGTGCGCCGCCGCACCGCGCGCCTCCCCCGAGCCTCTGCACGGCGCGATGAGCCGCCTCGGCTGCCGCCGTGGTTGCGCCGGCGCCCCTCCCGCACGGCGCGACGCGACCGCAGCCGCGTGCGTGGTCTCACTCACCTCTCCCGCCCGCGCGTCCGCCTCTCAGACCCGCGCCTCCCCTTTCCCAGGCGCCATCACCGGCACGGCCGCCGCCGCCCGTGCGGCACCCGCGGCACCTCCCGCCCCCCCTGGCGATGCTGGCCGCTACCCCGCCGCCGTAGCTACCCTCCCCACCGCTGGTGCACCGCCTCCGCCGCCCCCCTCGGCGCTTCGCCCGTGATTTTGCCGCCTCCTCCACCACCACCCGTCTAAGCTTCCGCCCGCCTTCTCGCCACCGCCGTCCGCGCCACCTCAGCCGCCCTCCCCGGCGCTGCACCGGCGCTGCAGTGCCGTCGGCGCCACCGCCCGTGCCGCCTCGGCCTCTGCGCCTCCAACCTCGCCGCGTCCGCAGCGGTTCCGCCCTCGGCGCCTCCCACCTCTCACCCGCCAGGTCGAACTTCCGCCGACGATGGTGCCACCGCTGCCGCCCCCCCCGCTCGAGCCTCGGCCGCCGCACCCCGCCGTCCGCGCCCCGCCGCCACCCCCTCCGTCACGGCACACGCCGGCACCACCGCTACTACCGCTGGCTCCGCCCTAGACGCCGCCGACCGCTCGCAAGAGCGGCGAGCCCGGGGCCGACACCCCTCTGTTAGGTGACGGTCGACGGCTCCTTTCGAGGCTTTGTAGCCCTTTAAGAGGGCACCAGCAGCTTGGGGGGTGCGCGCTGGATGGCCGGCGCGGTGGAGCAGCGGCGCGGAGCCGGGGGCTCGACGTGCGGCCGTCGGTGGCGCGACACGCGGCCTCCGGTAGCGATTCGCCGCGGCTCCGGCGGTGCGATTTTTGTGCGTTTTCGAAGGCTGTGGGCGGGATAAGGCCGGCTAGACCGGCCCTGGTGTGCCCTAGTGTGTTCCCTTACACCCCTGGCCCGGGAGCAGTAGCGCGGTGCGCGTCCCGAGGGCGTAGGGGCTCAAAAAACAATGGATCAAGTTTTCAGCCACTTAGAGCACACAGTGCCTGGTTTGTGACGGGCGCGTGTGTGTTATGTGAGATGTGACTTTGTGAGCTAAAACAAGAAGAAGAATTTGGGGATTGGGGAATTGAATTTCACGGGTGGCGAGTGTGCGGGATGTCTGTCTGTGGGCCCGAGACGGACGCGAGAGCGATGCGTGATGTGTGTGCGCCTTGCGCGCGCACTGCGCACTGGCACTAACACAGGTGTCACCAGGTAGCAGGTTATACCGTCCAAGTGCACTTAGTACATGTTATCTGACAAGAAACTCAACTCTATCGGACACACACACATGTGCAACATGCCCGTGAATCACCAAGTGTACAGTCGGGCGAGGTCGGTTGCGGGTCCCGGGAGCGCCTCTCCGTCCCCGCGCACCTCGCCGGGGTTGCGCGGCATGGCATGTCGATATCCCCCCCTACAAAGGCGGCGCTGCGCTCCTGCGCTGCGGCGGAGCGGCTCTGCCGCGCGCGGCGACTCTTCTGCATTCAGACGGGGCTGGCGAGCTCCTGGTACTTTGTGCGCTGCTCTTTGGCGAAACGCCGAGCCGTTGCCGCGCTCGTCAGCGGCGGCTTGGGCGTCGCCGACATCCTCTGCACACGGTGGGGCGGGGCGGCGGCAACTTAGTACCGGCTTCAACTCTGATGTCGCTTCTCTTGGGGAGCCACATGCCGCGCCGGCTAGGATGGTAGTGGCGAGAGGGGAGAGGAGGCGCGCGGGCCGCGCACCGCGCTGTGACAGGCCCGGCACCACGCGCGTCGCTTTGAGGGGCAGCACCACGCGCCCGCCTCTACAGAAAGGTAGGCGCCGACGCGAAGCGTCAGGTAGATGGGCACAGCCACGGCGAGGAGGAGGAGGAGGACGCCGAGTAGGAGAAGGGCCATCGGCACCTGAGGTCGGGGTGGGTGGGAGGGGAGGCTGAGACGGGACAGCCTTGGGCGGGGGCAGGGAGCTGCGAAGGACGGGAGCGCGAGCGCCAGGACGAAGAAGGTGAGCATCAGGGTACCGTTAAAGTACACGCGGCTCCACGTCAGAGCCCGGGGGCCGCTGAAGGTGCGGATCGTGTACTCAAAGTCGTTCAGCCCCTTCTCCTTGCCGTTCTTGAGGATCGACAACCGGTCGGGCTCCAACCAGTCGGGCTCCTCAACCTGCTTGTCGGTCGGAATCTTTGATGTATTGAGGCGGAACCATGAGACGAAGCCTTTCTTATCGTCGCCCCCGAACCACTCCTCGAAGAGGACAAAGTACTTGAGCTCGTTCCACACCGCGTCCAGGCTCGCCTTCTTTGCGACCGCGGGGCTATCTAGCAGGAAGGCGGTCACCGCCGGGAGGATCATGTCGCCGCCGTGGAGCGCTGAGCCGTAGGTGTTCTTCTCGGCGCAGCACGCCGGGAGCCACGGCGACATGTTGAGCCACGCCTCGAGGAAGGGGAAGGTGAGCCAGCGCAGCCACTCGTTCTTCCGCACGCGCACCTCGATCAGGTGGCCCGGCCGGCAGTTCCACGGCAGCACCTGCGGTGGCGAGGGCGCACAGTCTCACGGCAAGTCTCGTGGAGGGGGTGAGGCGGTGCCACGGCGGCGTCTCGCGCCATCTGGGCGACGGGGTCGAAGCGCATGATGAAATTGAAGGTGCTGGGCACGTTCTCGTGGATCCAGGTCTCGAAGGCGGGGTTCGAGATCTTGGTCGGGGCGAAGGCGTACACGCGGACAGCCGGGACGAGTCGGGGCGAAAACGTACACGCGTCGGCCTCGCGGTGGAGAAGCGCGTTTTTGACGTCCCATCGCTTCTCGTCGGACGTCCACGCGCCCGACCACTTGACGGCAAACTGTCGCACGTCCTTACCAGCAGCGTCCTTCTCGACGTTGAGCGTGATCGACAGCTTCGAATCGGTCCGGTCGCCCCCTGTGAAGGCGTCGACGCTGCTGCTGTGGTCGTTGACCTTGAGCTCGTCGATGAAACCGTCGTTGAGCGCGTGCAGCCCGGTGTCGAAGGCCACCAGAAGGGCGGCGAGGCAGATCGAGACGGCGCCGCCCTGCGAGTGGCCGGTCACGGTGACCTGCTTGTATTTGCCGATGCGGTACACGCCCTTCATCGCATCGAGGAGGAGGTATGTGAAGAGGACGCCTGTGTCCGCGAGGGAAGCGCAGAGCATGTGGGCGAGTGGGCAGGGCGGCACGCAGCAGGGGGAGGAGCTGTGGCGGACCCATCGCGCGGTCCAGGTACGCCCCGTGCACCATCAGCTGCGCATATTGACGGTTGATCTTGTCGCCGCTCCTCTTGCCGACAAAAATGTTGTCGGTGCGGACTTGTCCCGCAAAATTGCGCCTCGCGTCCTCCACATTTTTGATGATCGTTCCGCGGTTGACAATAACGAGCTCCTCGGAATTCCTTCCGCGAGCCTTTGCAAATGCTATGTTGCTCGTCGTAGGCAAATGCCATGCGTCGCCGATGTTGCTCGAGTGGTCGGACTGCTCCGCGTGGAAGGCCTTCACGAGTCGCATTCCGACGTCCTCCTGATACGCGAGCCCCATCGCGAGCTGGCTCGCGTAGAGCGCGGAGTCGGCATCGAAGGTGTTCGGCAGCGCGTTGTCCGTACACTGCATCGGGCGAGGAGCAGGTTGGTGCAAGCACTCAGGTCCAGCGTGTGTGGGTTGTGATCGATGGTGAACATATTCTTTCTACACGGGAAAAACAGTTGAAAAACTCCTGGCACAACGCTGGTCACATGAAAAAGAATTTACTCCGTGGAAGGAAGACCTCTGCCAGCGCCGGCACCTCTGGGTTCAACCCTGTCTCTGTCAGCCACGCTGATCTGCCGATGGCTCACGCCGGCGCGTCCGACCACTGGGAGCGCCTGTGGGCGTCCGGCTTGGCCAAAGGCGACAAGTTCGACGTCGGCGGGCCCAGCGCGACGCTCCTCGGCGCTCTCCGCCGGCTAGATCCCGTCTCCGAGGGTGCGACGGCGCTGGTGCCCGGAGCCGGTCGTGCCTACGATGCGCTGGCGCTCGCCGCGAGCCAATTCGCCCACGACGCCCTGCGACGCGGCGAAGCGCGAGATCGAAGCGTCGGGCCACCCACGTGCGGCGTCAGTTGAGGTCTGTTGCGGCGACTTTTTCCGGCACACGGGAGCCTATGACCTGGTCTGGGACTGCACCTTTCTCTGTGCGCTCGACCCGTCGGTGCGGGAGCGGTGGGCGGCGGCGCACCGCTCGCTCCTCAAGCCGCAAGGCCGGCGGCAGTAGACGCTGCTCTCTCCTCCTCCTCCTCTCTCTCTCCCTCTCTCCCTCCCTCTACCTCCCTACCTCCCTCCCTCCCTCCCTCCCTCCCTCCCTCCCTCCCTCCCTCCCTCCCTCCCTCCCTCCCTCCCTCCCTCCCTCCCTCCCTCCCTCCCTCCCTCCCTCCCTCGAGCCCCTCCCTCCCTCCCTCAGGCCGCCTCCTCACCGCCATCTTCCCCATCGACGCCAGCCGCCCGGACGCTCCGGCCCGCCCTACCCGCTCTCGCTCGACCTCCTGCGCAGCCTGCTCCATCCCGCGGGGCTCCACGCCGTCGAGGTGCGGGAGACACTCCCCGCAAGCGAGCAGCACCGGCCGGGCGGCTTTAGCGGCAAGGCGGAGACGGCGCTCGCAGTATGGGCGATTGGCGGGCTGGGCGGCGGCGGCGGCGGCGGCGGCGGCGGCGGTGGAGGCGGCGGAGGCGGCGGCGGTTGCGCGCCTCCGTCTGCGCCTCCGTCGCCACCTCCGCTCGAATGCGGGTGGGAGGGTGCGGTCGGGGTGGCGAGCGGGGCGGCGGGGGCAGCTGGTGCGGGGCAGGAGGCGGAGGCGGAGGAGGCCAGGGAGGCGGCGGAGGAGGTGGCAGGGGCGGGCGAGGCGGGCGAGGCGGGCGAGGCGGGCGAGGCGGGGGAGGAGGCGGGCGTGGGAGGGTTCGATCACTCGCATGGCGCCGATCACTCCCGCGGCGCGACAGCGCTCGGAGAGGCGGCGGCAGAGAGCGGCGACTTCAGCGCCGCCATCGAGCACTTCCGGACCGCGATCGCCGCCACGCCGACCGCCGCCCGCCCGCGCGACCTGCTGGCGCAGTGCTTGCTCGAGGTCGGCGACGACGCCGGCGCGTGCGATGCCGCAGCGTGCGCCGTCGCCCTCGCCCCTGCCTGGGCGGCCGCCCGGCTGACGCTCGGCCGCGCCTCGCTCAACGCGGGCCGGTACGCGGACGCGGTCTCACACTTTCGCGTTGCGCTCGAGCCGCGGGAGCAGGGCGTGGCCGCGGCGCTGCGGCTGGCGGCGTCAGACGACGACACTCTCGGCGGGCGTTGCAGGAGCATGTCTACAGGCACGAGCGTGTGAACAGGCGTCCGACGACGACACTCTCGGCGGGCGTTGTGGGACGCGGAGCTGCGGGGCGGGCGGCGGCGGCGGCGGCGGCGGAGGCGGCGGCGGCGGCGGCGGCGGCGGAGGCGGCGGGGGCGGCGGCAGCGCCAGTAGGGCGCCGGCGCCCCAGCGAAGGCGGCACGCGTAGCCCTCCTTTGTAAACAAAAATATGAGGAAACAAGAATTTAAACAAGACAACTCTCTCTCACAGCAGACAGGCTCGACACAGGTGCGAACTGGCGCGTGCTAGTACTATCACCGGCACACCACCGGAGCCGCCTAAGCGACTCCGTTAAGAACGGCAATGCACTTAGCTCCGTGCACAATGCCGCTGTCCCCGCACGCTAGCTCGTTCACCGTCTGCCACGCCACGGCGGTGTGGAGAACGACAGACAAGCGCTGCATCTGCAGCCCGTGCCAGTTCTTGGTGGTCCATGTGACCTCATCGAGGTGCTGAGCGTGCGAAAGTTTGTTACTCAGCTGGTCCGCCGCCTGCCGAAGAATTCTGCGGACGCCGTCCCCGAAGCCGCCGAACGTCTCGAAGTCGAGCAAACGCAGGTCGCAATTCTTCTCCCGCGCGAACCGGTATTCGCCCTTCTCGTAGCGGGCCGTCACAGGTGCCCCCGCCTCCGCCTCCCCCTCACTCTCCCCCTCCTCCTCTTCCGCCGCCGCCGCCTCCGCCTCTGCATCCTCCGCCTCCCTCCCCCCCTCCCCCCCCCCTCCCGGCCGCGGCCATGCAGCATGCCCTAACACTAAGTCGAGCAGCGCCCGCTCGGTGTTGCCGAAGGCGACAAAAGCCCCCTTCCAGCCGAGCCGATCGCCACCCTTGCACGCAAGCGAGCTCGTCAGTTTCAAGTCGCCAACGAGGCGCACATGCCCTTTGCCGATGTTCGCCGCCGCCACGTCAGGTTGTTTTGGGTTACTGTAACTGAGGTGTGCAGTCGGCTCCATCTCGATGAGCATGCCCCACGCCGAGCGAAGGGTCTTGACGAGTCGTTTGAGCAGGTATTTGTGTCGTGTCGCGTGCTTCGCACGCGGGTTGACCATTGCGGCATCGCCGAGTTCTTCGTGCGGCTTGCCGTTTGGCGCCTTCTTGCCCGCCTCCACCGCCTGGCAGGCAACATCGAGCGGGAGGCCGAGGCGGCGCTGAACTGTAATGCGCATCGCCCACGTCTCCATCTTCATATCATCCCGCATGGGGATCGCATTCAGGAAGGCGCCAGCCCCCTCCTGGCTGACTGCGACGAACCGAATCGCCTCGCGCCAGCACTTGTGGTTCTTGCACCTGCCAGTCTTGTAGCGGCCGCCCTGCCGGGATGCCTCGCTGACGAAGGCGTCGGCGAGGGCGAGCCAGTTGCGATGGTGTACGCCGACGGTGTACCGCCGCTGCGCCTGCTGTAAGAACTCGCTGGTAGACGAGAACTCCGAAAGATCCAGCAGCTCCGCCGCCGGCGTAAGTTTGGGCGGGTGGTAGCGGCGCCGTGGCACCGCCTTGGTCTCCTGGAAGGGCCCGACGACGTCTTGGTATAGCGTGCGCCCGTCCCACTCGCGCCACGTCTTGCCGACCGCGTCGCGAACGGCGCGGAGGCGTTTGTGAGCCTCCCGAAGCTCGTCGAAGCGCTCTCCCGGCGCGAGGGCCACATCGAGGTCGCGGAATGGCTCGTGCAGCTCGCGTATCGGCCGCGTGACGAGGGCCCACGTGCCGACCCACGCTGCCTCACGGATGTCCATGGCACTGGTCAGGCCCATACCGCCCATCCTGACCGGAAGTCGGGCCTGCTGAACAGCGACCCGCCACTGTGGGCTGTTGCGTCCGACCCGCGCGCCACCCACGAGGGTGTAGAGCGCCTCCTCCATCAGGCGGTCGTGCTCGCGCGCGGCGTCCTGGGTCACCGACGGCGGCATAGTGCGAAGGAAGAAGGTGAGCGTGGTGTTGCTGCAGAAGCGGAGGAGCACCTGGGCGAGCTGCTGCGCGGTGTGGATCGTTTTGGTGTCGCGCAGCGCCATGATGCCCGAGAGCGGCTCCAGCGCCTTGCGGACGCGCTTGACGAGTTTGTCACGGCACCACGCCTTGTCCCCGAGGTACGCCCCGAGCACGCGAATACCGCGAAGGACGCCGTCTGCGGAGTCCGGCGTGCCCTTGACATCCGTGCGGTCGCGCACCGCGTCGAGCGAGCGCGGGTCGGGGGCCCACATGCACCGCTTGGACTTGTTGCTCTCGACGCCACTCCAGAGTTGAGCAAGGTCGTCGCCCTCGAGCATCGTCTCGAGAGCCGCCCTCGGCGCGTCCGCGACGTAGGTATCGTCTAAGTAGTACGCGCAAATTAGGGCGGACGGGTTGCGCACCTGCATCTCGAGCAGGGTCCAATGATAGCCGACGGCGAAGAGGAAGGGCCCGAGAGGATCGCCCTGCGCGCAGCCCTCGGTCGACATGAAGGTGTCGCCCGAGCTGCACCGCGCCTCCGCGTTGAAGAGAAAGAGGCGGCGCTGCTCGCTGTACCACAGCGCGACGGTCGGGATGAGCTCCGGGAACCACCGCCGCAGGCCCGCAAAGATGGCCTTGCGAGAGATGCAGTTGAAGCCGTTGCGCTTGTCGTCCGAGGCGATCGCGTGGCCGGGGTTGCGCCGCAGATGCTCCTGCAGCAGCTGGATCGCCACCTCGGCTCCGCCAGCGAGTCCCACGCCGACCTGCAGGGGGATGTTGCACGCCTTGACGCGCGCCTCCGCCTCCTCCGCCGACATGCCGAGCCCGCCGTCCTCGGTGGGGCGGAGGCAGATCTCGCGCATGCCGTCGCGGACCGTGCGTCTCATGTCGGGCGTGCCGCCGGTGAAGAGGTCGCACATGTCGGCGCTGCGATGCTTCATGAGCACGCGGTTGGCGAGGCGGCGGATCGCGGCGGGAATGCCGATGGGACGGGTGCCGGTGAGGTTGCCGTCGTCGTCTCTCTTCTCGATGCCGAGGAGGTTGAGGTCGCCCCAAATCTTTGTGGCCGACTCGTGCACCTCGCCGCGGTTGATGGAGGCGACGATGTCGAAGAGCACTTCCCTCGTGTCCGCCCCGCCGTAGTACAGGAACTCTAGCTCCTCATAGCTCACGCCGTCGACGGACATGGCCCGCGCCTTGGGCACCGAGTGGAACACCTCCCAGAATGCGTCCCGGTACTCCTTGCTGGAGGTCGAGTAGCGTGTGACGGCGCCGCCGGCGCCCTGGGCAGGCCGCATGTCGTCATCGGCGACCGCGGTGGACTGCGGGTGGAGGTCGCGAAGCGTGTCTCGAACCAGCGCCTGGTCCGCTGTCAGGCCGCCGCCGGGCTGCGTGTCGTCGTACACGCCCGTCTCGGCGACGGGGTTGGTCGAGAAGCGGGCGCAGGCCTTGGAGAGGTAGCCTGCTCCGGCGAGGCCGAGGACGGTGGCGAGGAGACGCTCGTCGCGGCTCGACTCGCTCGCCCCCTCTCCCTCTTCCTCGCCCGCCTCCGCCTCTGCCTCCTCCCCCCCCCCGGACGGAGCGTGCGCTCCCCGCCTCATGGCTGCAGCAGCGTCCGCAGCTGCCCCGCTGCCACCCTGGCGCTCGAGCTCGGAGGCGCGCGCCGCCCGCTTGGCGGCGGCGGCGTCGAAGCCTCTCGAAACAAGAAATCTGGCAAAACGATGTCGGACCTCATCTCTCTGAAGGTCGACAACTTCCCCTTCGAGACGACGACGAACGAGCTGACGGACCTCTTCTGTGCGCCTCGGCCCGCCGCGCCGCGCCCGCGCGCCTCCACTGCCGTGCACGCGCAGAACTCCTCCCGCCGCGCCCGCCTCGCCGCTCATGACTGCCGCACGCGCTTTGGCAGCCAAGTACGGCGAGGTCAAGGACTGCTACCTCCCCAAGGACCACGCCACCGGCAACTCGCGCGGCTTTGGCTTCGTCCGCTTTGGCTCGCAGGACGAGGCCGACGCCGCAATCAAAGGGTGCCGCCGCAGTAGTGGGTGATCGCGTGCTCCCGCGCTCCTGATTCGCCGATCCTGATTCGAGGGGAGATCGAGGCGGGCGGCGGTGGCGGGCAGCGGTGGGGCGCGGCGGGCGGGCAGTGAGGGGAGGCGGAGGGAGAGGCTGTGCGCGCGGCGCGGCGCTCGGCGCTCGCAGGTGTGTTCCGGTGTTGCAGAGGGCGGGCGGACGGCGGGGGCGGCGGCGGCAAGGGGTCGATGCGGGCGG